AAAATAGTTTTTTATTTTTGTTATCATTATTTTTATTATTATTATTATTATTATTATTATTATTATTATATTATTATTATTATTATTATTATTATTATTATTATTATTATTATTATTATTATTATATATTTTTATACAAGTTTTTCCTCTGACCAGTCCAACAACGGATTTAAAAATAACAAGTATGGAAAAAAGGAAGGAAAAAGGAGGAAAAACTATAGAAAGAATGGAAAGAAAAAAAACTCCTACTTGCATATAATACATTCACAGGGTAAGTGTGACTCGGTCATGGCAGCCTGGGCATTGCACTGGACTGATCCATGCTACACGTCACACTTTCTTTTAATGCATCACAAAGCAACTGACAAACACTATATACCTCAATGTTGATCATACAACTTCCACCTCCTCAGATTATTGTTACAGCTGTTGTTGTTTTATTATTATTATTTATTTATTTTATTTTATTTTTTATTATTATTACCAGCATAAGTATATTATAGTTATCACGTTATTAATAATCCATCATATACTGTTAGTTAAATTCTTCTTTTTAATATTATTCTTTACTTTGGGTTTGTATAATTGGGTTTGTAAAAATAAAAAGGGGCCGCATTTTACAGTAATACTGTTTTTACTGTATTTTTCATCGATTACCTGCAACCTCAAAACAGCCAGTTGTGCATGCTTATATTGCGATTATACAGTGATATTCTGCTTTGCCTCAGGTCCTCTCTCTCCAGCACAACGGCTCCAAAGACTTCAGCCAATCACAGTTTGCCTCGTACTGGAAGCCTGTCCTGTCCATGGATGCCAACTTCTGGCAGCGCTGGCTGCACATGCACCGCATCACTATCATTCTGGAGCATGACATGTGAGTGAACACAGCCTGGATTGGTGGTGTATTCTGGGAAACTTAAACTTGAGTTACCATGAAAAGACAGAGACACTTTTAGACAAACACTCACAAACTTCACTATTATTATAAATCATTAATACAATGAAAAAAATATATCAAAGTTTTTTTGGGTTCAGTTTTGGTTTTTGGTTTTACGTGAAGGAAAAAAAAGGTAAATAATAAATCATCTTCTAAAAGTCAGGGGTTTAAGATGTTCCAGTTTTAGACAGAATGTTTTGTATTAGACGCTGGTGTAATGTAATTAATGTACATCTGAGTAAATGTACTGTAATGTGCATTTATATATAACGCATTTGCAAACATTCCAATAACTAAACTTATCCAGAGTGAGCACTGGACCCCTCACACCCAGCACACTGCCTCTTTGAGCTGCTGGTTGTTGCTACGATGCGAAGGATTGCGATGCCGGCTCAGCATCATGATGTCTGTCAGCCATCGGCGATGGACAATGACCCAACCCTGCTGTACATACACTTGTCAATTTGTATATTTGTATTCACTACTTACCTTTATTTTGAAAATATATTTATTATCTGTTATTTTGTGCCATATCTGCAATTCTGCTGCATTGTAGAAGCTTTGTAGAAGCTTTGTCACAAAAACAAATTCCTCGTATGTGTGAACATACCTGGCAATAATGTTTTCTGATTCTGATGTGTTTTATGAATGTACATGATGGAGACAAATTAGGAAAGGAGGGCATAAACAATGAACTGTAACAGAGCCTCGTGTCTTCATCTATTGTAAAAAGCCAGTATTAATTGAATCCTGCTGACTGTGACCTGTTTTTCTGCTTTCTGTCTATCTTTTCAGGCCGGTCCCGAAGCATGTGCACAACGCAGGAAGTAATGGTCGATTCAGTACCGTGCAGTGCCGGATCTCTCACTCTGCACTCACATCACTGCTCAAAGACTGGAGCAGTTTCGTCCTGGTGGAGGGATATTCATACGTCAAACTCATTTACAGGTGCGTGTAGGCTGCTTTAGGATGATTATAATTTATTTTCAGTTATATTTCTTTTAGGTGGAAAAACAGGCAACATTTTTATTTATTTAGAGCCCATTTACTTCAAGGAATAAAACTATAAGTAAATTGTTTTAAAAATCATTAGGATTGTTAAAGCACAAAAATGTGTGCAACATTGACAAATATATATATGTATATATATGTGGTTACACTCAGTAAACAGTGGTAAGTTCGGTGACATGCAGACACACACACACAATCACAAATCGCGCTCGAGCGCGCGAGAGCACGCTATAAAACTACAGATACACATATATATACATATATATATATATATATATATATATATATATATATATATATATATATATATATATATATATATATA